GGGGGGGGGATAGCAGCTTCGGGCGGTCCTCGGCGGTCCATAAGAAGACGCGGCCTCGAGTATTCTTAGAGTTTGAGTAATCTTCATTTGCCCATCCCGACCAACGCCTCGTCCATGAGCTCGTCGTCGGTGATGCACGGCGAGGCGGAGTGCGGCGAGGGCGGTATCACCCGCGGACTCGGCGCTGGACTCTTGACGATGTGCACACTGACGGAGGGGCTCGCCGGCGGGAAGNGCCGGCGGGAAGGCGGGCGGCGGCGGGGGCGGGGGCGGCGGTGTGTTGCGGCGCACCGGCGCCGCCTGGGTCATCGCCCTCTCGGGGATGGTGGTGAGGTGCGTGAGGCTCTTCGCCACGTCCTTGGCGGTGGAGAAGTCCAACAGCATCTCCGCCGCCTCCTGGGAGCTCGAGCTGCCGCCGCCGCCAGCGCTGCTGCTGCTCACTCCCGCGGTGTCGGCGCCCTTGGCGATAATGGCGCCACTGTCGGCGATCGGGCCGACCCCAGCTGCGCCGCCGGCGGCGCTGATCGACGAGAAAATCGAGGACGACGAGGAGGATGAGGAGGCCGAGGACGACGGTGGTCCAACTTGCTTCTTCTCCTCGGCGATCTTGTTGTACTTGGCCAACGCGGCGTCGGCCGGCTTGGTGCTCAGGTTCAAACTCTCGGTGACGGTGCTCGAGGATGCGCCGCTCGTACCGGAGCCCGCGAGGCTCCCCGAATACGCTTTGGAGGCGGACGACGCCAGCTGGTCGGCGCTGCTCTTGCCGAGGACGCCGATAACGCCGGCGTTCGCGTCGTCTTTGCCGAGAAACTGCTGGCCACCCGGCCTTCCGATCGCGCCGATGTCCTTGCACGGGTCGCGAGACTCGCTGTCTATCGGCTGCATCGACAGGTTCGTCGGCACGTCCGAGTCGGCAGCCGACTGCGGCGGCAGCATCAGGCCTGCGCTGCTCTCGCCGGTGAGGCCGAGCGACATGGCGGCGGCGCCGGCGCTCGTGGAGATGGAGAGGTTGTCCGGCTTGCTCTGAGCGTAGTCCCGTCTGCTCGGCTGGCTCGTGGGCTGCTCGTCCGCCATCGACTTGCCGGACGCCGAGCCCGGATTGGACAGGCTCGCTATCTTGCACTGCTGCTCCTGCTGCTTCACCGTCAAGCCGTCCAAGGTCTTAGCAGGGTCCGGCAACATGGACAGCTTCTCCGAAACCTTCTTGTCGGCGCTGTCGACGTTAGCGCGCGCCGACAGCTTCGGTATCTGGAACTTGGTGTCCAGCTGCTTCATCAGGCCCTCCATGACCAATTGGGGCGGCAGACTCGGCGGCAGGCTCGATATGGAGGCGTGCGTCGCTAACAGTTTGTACGTGTCGCTCTCTTCGCGCAGGGCGGACGGACTGGACTTCCTGGCGTCGCCGATGCCCTTCGATGCGAACACCCCCTTGTCGCCGGACTTCTGAGTGCGGGGCTTGTCGCGACCACGACTGAGGTCGGTCGGCCCTGCGCCGGAGGTCTTCGGCGAGCCGGAGGACTTCGAAGACGAGCCGCTCTTGGACAACGGATTGCTACCGCCACCGACGCCGCCCCCCGTCGCACCCGCGGTACCCGCGCCGGAATTCGCCGAGCCGGAGATCGACTTCATCGCTAGCATCTTCTGGCTCAATAATTTCGGCGAGCACTGCGTCGGCTTCTTGGACGCCGGCCCCGAATTCACCCCGGGCTTCAGGCCGGTGTGAGTCTTCGGCGAGCCGTTGCCAGACGCCACGGACGACGAGGAGGACGCCACCGACGAGCCGGAGGACCCTCCGGCCGCGCCGGCCGCCACGGACGACGACGACGACGAGGACGACGACGAGGACGACGAAGAGGACAGCTTGAGGTTACCGCCCGACTTGGAGTCCTTCGTGCGTGTCTTGTTGATAGTAATCTTGATGCCGTCCGAGCTGTGCTTCACCATGTATTCCGCTGGATTTTTCGACGACGAGTCGATCGACGAGTTCTTGCCGATGCAGGACTTCCCCTCGACGATCTTCCCGGACGACCCGCCCACGCCGCGTCCCTCCTTCTGCGCGCTGCTGCCACTCCCGCTGCCACCGCCGCCGACGCCGGAGGAGGCCTTCGCACCGCCGTTACCGCCGTCCTCGGTGCAGTGCTGCGCATTCTTCAACTTGTCTATCACCGCGTTCAGGGAGCTCTTCCGATTCCTCGCTTGCTGCTGGGCCTGCGCGGACTTGGCCGCGTCTACCTGGCCCGAAGGCGGGGTGCTGCCCCCGCTGCTGGACAAGGAGACCTGAGCTTCACTCCCGCCGCCGGTCGGTATGATCTCCAGCTGCTTCAGTTTGCCGCTAGACGACTTGGTCTTGGGGCTCTGGTGGCCGGTGGATGAGCTCGACGAGCCGACGGACGAGGAGGTCTTCCTCTCCTTGTCGCGGCCGGAGTCCTTGCTCGACGACGACGAGGAGGACTTGACCTTGGACGGAGTCGGCTGGTCGGAGGTCTTGCCGGACGGCGAGTTCGCCGCGGACTTGAGAGCGGACATGCTCGGCTTGCCGGCGGAGCTGCCGTGCTTCGGCGAGGACGTGCCGTGCTTCGGGCTCGCGCTCGCCGGCACCGGCACCGAAACGGCGACCGCCGCCGGCACCGCGACGGACATCGAGATCGCCGGCGGCGCGTTGTGCTTCGGGCTGCTGCTGTAGACCGGCGAGTGCTTCGGGCTCTGCACCGCCTGCTTGCCGATGGCTGACTGTTTCAGGGTGGGGCTGGACTTACCTACGAGCGCGAGCGAGCTCGGATGCGTCGGCGACGGGCTGAACTTTCTCACGGTGCCGGCGGGCGAGGTAGGCCGCGCGCTCAGACCCGGCGGCGACTGCTCCGTCGGCTTGATCGTCACCGAGACCGGCTTCAGCAGCGGGTCCGGCGGCTTCGGCGGCAGCTTGTCCGGCGGCGGGCCCATCGGGCTGTCCTCGCGCTTGCGCTTGCGCCGCTTCTCGAGCTTGCCGGCTTTGTCCTCGGCCGCCGAGGAGGAGGCGGCGCCGGCGGTGGTGGTGCTCTTGCCGCTCTTGCCGCTCTTGCGCTCTCGACGCTCTTCCGTCGTCGTCAGGCCCTTCGACGCCGGCACCACGTTAGCCGCCGCCGGGCCGGCTATCGGCGTGATCGTGATCGAGCTCGGTAGGCTAGTTTGCGGCGAGGAAGCGATTGGTATGATCTCGATGCCCGGCCTCCTTTCCAAACCCATCCCGGTAAGCACGGAGTTATAGTTGCCGCTTTGTTCCAGGTTACCGCATGTGATTGGGGTGATACTTACGGAAGGTGGCACCAGGCTCTTACTCTCGTCGACGAATATGCTCGTCGGGCTCGCTTTTTTCTCGCTTCCGTCCCGCGACTTCTTCGACTTACGCTCGCGCTTCATCAACTCCTCCACGTCCTGCTGCAGCTGCTGCTCCGCGCTGCTGCTGTGTACCTCCATGATCTCGCCGGTCTCGTTGTCGAGATCGTAGTCCGAGCTCTTGTCGGTGCCGAGCATGTCGGTCGCGTCGAGGTTCGAGAAATCCATGCCGCTGGCCAGACTGGCCGCCGACGTCGGGGTGGACGTCCGGGTCTCGGTGAGGCCCTCCCTGCCGCCGCCGGTGGGCGTGCCCAACGGCGTCGAGTCCGAGCTCGAGCTCTCCAGCAAGATCTCAGCGGCTGTCGCGGCGCCCTCACCGTCGCCTTTTCTCTTAGGGCTGCGCCAGAGACCGTCCGCCGCCTTCCTCTTGCGCGTCTTCTTGCTCCGCTCGCTCGCGTTCGCGTTAGCCAACGAGTTCTTCGCCTGGCCCAGCAGCGCGCCCAGCTGCAGCGGGTTCAGCATGGCGGAGGCATTGCCTGTCGTATCGGATTGGCCGGAATACGACGGAAAACCGATACTATTTTCCGTTCCGGCATCTAAAAAAGGCTGCTGCTGTTGCTGTTGTTGTTGTTGCTGCTGTTGTGACTGCTGTGGCAGCTGATGCGACGATTGCTGCTGCCTGCCGCCTATGCTGCCGTTGCCGTTGTTCAGGCCGGGCTCTTGCTTGATCTTCACGTCGCCGTTGGTGAAATCAGGCATGCCGGCGGTGCCGTTTTGCCCGGTCTGATCCTTGCCGGAGCCCAGGTTGATGTTGTAGCTGCCGTTGCTGCTGCTGCCGCCGCCGCCGGTCGGCGCGCTCATCGCCGGCAGGGTGTTGCGGCTCTCCCAGATCTTCAGCAGCGTTCGCATCGTCAGCGGTATGCTGAGGCAACGCTGCAACACCTTGCCGGCGAGATCCGACGTCTGCTCCGCGTTCGTCATACTTACACCGTACAGTTTGCACTGGAGGGCCGAGATGTCGGTAAGGTCGAGCTCCGCGGTGGCCATCGTTTCCTCGAACGGGTGCTCCACGCTCACGGACACATGCTGCCACGAGAGAGCGCTTACCTCGAGTATCGTCGCGTCCGGGTCCTGCCGTGCCATCGGCCTCACGCAGCTCGCGATCAGGCAATTGAACAGAGCCTGCTGGCGCAGGTACACGAGGATCTGAGGCACGTGGGCCGGGTGGGTGAAGGGGATGCTGCACACCAGCACGCCCTCCATGTTCTTGTTCTCCGTCATGAAGTAGCAGTGCTGCTGGTCCGTCAGCGTCTGCGTCAAGCGAGAGCGGGGGCAGGTGAGTAATGAGCGAGTGTGAGGCATGGATACTTCGTTTTCGTTACGTGCGCAGGGAGAACGAGATTTTTTCGGGTTTAGTCGAGTTTCTCCGATTGAGGAAAGTTTGTTTTTCGGAATTGAGGAAACAAACGAACGTTTGATGCAATTATAGAATTGCTCGGTTTCTCAAATAACAGATATATCTTCAAACTTCTTTTGTATTTTCATTCAAGCATTACACACGACTGTCACAAGCAATAAGTTATTTGAGAGAGGTAATTCTAGGTCGGGAAAATATTAAGGAACTTCTTTCTGCGTCTCGGTGGAATGATAATTTAATATGTAATAAGATAATAAAGTAATAATGAAGAGATAAAGAAAATTTAATAGATTCTTCTTTTATTGAAATCAAACATTATTTCTTTTAAATAATATCGTTTCCTCCATCAAAACAACATGGTTTACTCGAAACAACATTTTCGTTCAAACAAAATGATATTTGATATTTAATTATATTGCTTGTATTAAACAAACCCAAGTCAAACAAACGTGTATACTAAGTCCAAAGAAATCTTCTTCTCTATGCGATATGTATAAATAATATAAATAATAATTATATATTATAACTGCCACTGTTTCATTCGAAACAAGTACCTAAACGAAGCCCATAATCGACCCAACTCTTAGCTCAATCTAAGGTTCAGCTAGTCTCCCCTGTTCATGATAAAGCTTTGCGACAACTGACACGTCTAAATTCATCAAACAATCGTTCAAGATTTCCACTCACCACGTACAGCCCCCTGTTATTGCGGCAGTCCAACTGGCTGTCACTCGCGTGCTGTATTATCAGACTGAGTAGCGGATGAGGCGCGGAGATGTCGCCGCACTCGAGCTCCGTGACTTTCTGTATCCTCTTCACCAGTTCCATGCAGATCGGCATCTTCTTGCCCAGCTTCAGGACGAAACAAGCGGGCAGCATGGATGAATTGGTGCCGGTCAGCGGGGCGTATGACGGTGTGCTGAAAATTCGGAAGAGATGTTGACAACTTGGACCGAATCATGAAGCGAAGAATGGGCAAGGTTCGATCGTATAATATACCTCTTTCCTGTCGGGCTTCTATTTACAGTTATGATGCTGGACGTAGGCAGTTTGTGACCCGTCGAGCCCTCCATACAAACGGTTACGGAATGGCCGATCTTCCGTTTGATAATCGTGTCGGGATTCAACGCGTCGTGCGAGCGGTTCTCCAGGTCGATCAAGTCGTACGGAGAAACGAAGTACGTAAGCTTCATCGGATGGCCGCCTCTCCTCCTTTCTAGGATTCCTGGGAGACGAGATTAACGATAACTGCCCATTCGTCAATTACAATATGAGATAAAAATGAGATATAGATTATATCTTCATATATATATATATGTTTATGTGTGCAGTAAATTGTACATAAAAACCACAAATTCACTGACCGACAGGGCTCTTGTGAACCAGGTTGAACGGCTCCTTCATGAACGTTTGCAGTTGTGCCAGAACACCCAGGTCGGCCTCGAGAGATTGCAGAGCGCTGAACGCTTTGCACTTCACTTTCTTATCAGCGTTCAACTGATATATAGATACCAGTCCCTCCAGCTGAGTAGTGAAATCAACAAAATCGCCGCGCGACAGGCACGAAGCCAACACCTCACAACTCTGCGAATACGTTCTTTGAGTAACCGACATGTTACATGGCGAAGATGCCAACATTGACATTGACTGCGCTCACCTGTTGTTCGCTCTTCCCCTCATGATGGATCTTAACCTCTCTGACATGACCTGACGGCTCCAGCAAGACCTCCAGGAAGAACATGTCGGAGGATATGAATATTTCTGTGCCTGGAGGACCAGACATCATAAACTTTAATCTGTGTGATAAAACAACGATATGTAAACTTGACCTCTCTATAAAAATCTATGAAATTAAACGGTGAATGAATAGTACATATAATTGATGGATGAAACAGAATCTGTGACAAAAGATAAAGAAAAAAAAATTATGTGCAATGCACAAGTTGTTGTTGATATACAAAATAAGCAGTCACTTACCCCAGCTGTCTCGTCAAGCTCTCCAATCGCTCCACCATAGACTGGAAGGAGGTAACCTTGATAGAATGCTGTAGAGTGTCCAAACATTTCTGCAACTGATTCTTCTCCACGCTATCAATCGTATACCGTTTGTCCTGTTCGTCAAAAAAGCTTGTTTACCAAAGTGTACACTACATGCTTATTGTGATATCATTCAAGCTTGAAATCACAAAACATGTACGTAGTAAAAAAAATATCTAGCAAAAACTTTTTCTCTCACTCACCAACATAGCCATACGCATGTTCTTGGCAGTTTCTACCAGAGGTTTCAACGTAGAAGATTTGGAGCGTAACTTCTCCATCAGCAGCTCCATTTGCCATTCCTTCCCCTTGTCGGAGGTGACCCCCGTGCTGGTGGAGGGCTGCCCCACTGTGAAGCACACGAGTTTCAACCAGGAATCTTCAATTTGCCCGCGAAACGCGGGCAATCGCGAGAATTCAACGATTTCACAGCCCGATAGCTGTTCCCGCAAATCGAGCGATTGTTATTACGAAGATTTACGGGAGAAGAGGTCTCACCGTGGGGCTTCTGTCCGTTCGTCGCATCCATGTGCCGCTCTGTGGTGTACACGGGGCCGTGTACGGACAGATCGGTCGCACTCCTACTCTTCTCCTCGTTATCGCGGACGCATCGTTTATTTGATCATCATGTCGCCCGTTAAACAAAATCGAACGCACGGCGCGCCCGAAACGCGAACGTGAATAATCGGACTTCTCTCCTGACTGACTTCCGTTGTCCGTTTCCTTCGCGACTGATCTCACTCCGCTCACGGATTCTTCCCCTAACCTACCTAACCCTAATCCATTTTGCATCGCGCGCTTGTTTACTGCGCGTGCTGCCAGATGGCGCGATAATTTTTTCTTTTATTTTCCGTTCGGGGACCCGACCTGTCGGTAAGGAAGAGAGGCACGTTATCGCGCGTCCATAAAATAAATTCAAGCACGATTTCCGATAAAATTAAGAGGGTGCGATCTCTGTAACTCGGAGAAGAAAATTTACGCTCGAGTCGAGGAAACGTTGAATTTTCTCGGTACGACTGAAGCAAAATCCGAAACCTCGCGACCGGAAATTGAAAAAACGAACATCGCTTCTCTTCCTCTTGAAGTTTACAATGAGCCGTTCACAATTCGTATTAGTTTGACTCACAAGTCCCGGCAAGAAATTTTCCATATATAATTGGTTATATAATTATATGTATTTAGATATAGTTATATATAAGGCGTTATATATAGAATATGTCCACATTTAAAAATATATAATTATATATGACATGATGATAAAAATTATATATATATATATATA